GGTGCTTCCAAACATGGGTGAAGATACCCAGGCACCCCCCCCTTGTGGTGAAGTTACCCAGGCACCCCCCCCTTGTGGTGAAGAGAGATAATCAAAACAAAAGAAGGGACAGTGGGAGTATAGGCGTTAGAGCAGGGGTGGCAGGCTTGTGAACATGAGAGCGGGGATCACTGACCTGTGCACATCTGACATGGTGGATGCACGATGCTTGAGGACGAACTCTGGGTCCAGGTACACCATTGCGCCAGAGAGAGACAGGTTTCTACACAAATGTGGGGCCAAGTGACCCCTACACATGAGAGCAGGGCCCACTGACCTGTGCACATCTGACATGGTGGATGCACAGTGCGTGAGGACGAACTCTGGGTCAAAGTGCCGGAGAGAGACAGTTGAGACATGAAAGTAGCTGACCCTACGCACGAGGGGAGGGACCGCTGACCTGTAGACATCGGACTTGGTGGATGCGCGGTGCGTGAGGACGAACTCTGGATCCAGGTATCCCCGTGTGCCTGAGAGACCGTGAGTGAAGAAGCTGGCCTCCCCGCCTTCCAGCAGGCGAGAGAGGCCGAAGTCTGACAGCTTGGGCTGGGTAAGGGAAAAGGGGGGCAGGGGGGGAGTACACTCAGGCATCATTCCAGTCCAGAGACAATAAGGGAGAGGGAAGAGCGGAGAAGTGGAGAATGTAGAGAAGGGCGAAGTAAAGGGCCAAGGGGGGGGTGGGAAAAGGAAGGAATTGAAGAGAATTGAAAGGTCGAAAACTGCTGTGCTGGCTCTACAGGTCAAAAGAGGCGTGTAGGACGGCGTTCAAGGAGGGGATACTCTGTCTGGAGGGGGGGGGGTTTCGTGGGAGAAAGCAAGAGCAAAGGCTGTCGCGAATTTGACTTGAGAGGGAGAGGCTTGAGGGGACGGTCACTCACGGGCTGCAGGCAGTAGAGAGGTCATTTCAAGAGGTGGAGGAAGTACCTCGAGCTCGTTTTCTGAGAATTGTAGAACAAACACGAGGTGGAAAAAGTACCTGGAGCGCTGCTGTGAGAAGGATGTTAAGTGACTTGATGTCTCGGTGCAACATGCGGTCCCGTGCCTGCAAGGGAATGCTTTGCGGGACACAGGTAGCAACACGATAGCAATTGAGTACGAGCCAGAGCGATGGATGTTCAGCGGCTTCACGCCTGGGTGCAACATGCAGTCCCATGCCGCGAGCAAATGCAGTGTGTGCAGGGAGGTGAGGTAGGTGAGGGAGGTTAGCAGCGTGAGACCAACTGAGTCCGATAAGCAAGGATCCGCATCGCGCCCAGTATGGTGAAGCAGAGGCGAGACAAGTTGCCGTATCGTGAGACACGATTTGAAGGATTCAAAAACTGTGCACAGGGGGCAAGACGGTTACTGTGGGGCCAGTATCATGGGATAACAAGCCTACTTGTGATTGCAATGCTGCACCTGGGGGCAATTTTAGAGGCGCCTCAAAAATAGACTCCTCATGCACCTGGGGGCAAGTCGGCTACTGCGGGAAGCGTTTATCCCAGAAGTCAATAAGCAAGTGTGGGATCCCTTGCCTGTTCGTGAATGTAGTGCAGGGAGCGGGCAACGCCAAGGGCGATGCAGAGGCGCTGGGGGAAGGAGAGCGGAGGGCGGGACAGGTCTGCATGGGCAGGGATGGGGAAGGGAAAGAGAGGGAAGGGATATGGTGGCAACGCAAACGCGATATGGTGCATGAATCTCAAGCACGCCACCTTCTAGATTGCCATTGGGGACGAACTCGTACACCAGCTGCTTCTCCCTCCCCACGTTCACCACAATAGCCTATCATGGACAACCATCCATCACACACATGTGACATGTTCCCCTATCCTCCAAGCCACCACTGACTGACCATGCAGAGCCTCGCAGAGGTTGCCGTTGGAGACGAACTCATACACCAGCAGCTGCTCCCCACGCTCGGCGCACCACCCTATGAGGGACACCAGGTTCCGGTGGTTCAAACGCCAGATGATGCGCACCTGGTGGGCAGGAACCACGTGGAACCGCACAGAACCGCATGGAAGAGCATATGAAGCAGAGAATTGCTAAGGGCAAGCAAACACCATTCTTGATAAGCAGGTGTGCACCCTCTGGTCATAGGCACTTTAAGCTGAGAGAGTGCAGAAAAACACACCGCTGGTCCTAAGTGAAAGGCTGATTCTACTTGATTCACTATCACGATTAAATGCCAAAAACAAGCTCAGCTCCTGTTAAAACGCCCCTCCAGGTCGCGTACTCCCTCACTTAGCCCTCTTTGTTGCTCTTAACGCGACAAAAAGAAATGCAAACTCACCTCCTGTTCAAATGCCCCTCCAGGTCCCATGCTTCCTCTCTTGGCCCTCTTCACCGCCCAAAACTCCTCACCATGCCTCTGTCCTCCCCCTTCCACCCTCTTCGCAGAAACAGCTCCCGCATCTCTTCTTTCCCTCCTGCTTGCTGACGTGACACCTGATGACTCAGCAACAGGGACAGGTAACGCCTGGTACACTGTACCAAAGGCCCCCTCTCCTATCTTATTTGCTGGGGAGAATCCGTCAGTCGCCCGGCTTAGCTGCGCAAAGGAGAAGCGGCGAGGAGCATCAGAAGGCGAGGGGGTGGCATGCTGCTGGAAAGCAGACTCAGAGTCAGCAGGCGCAGCCCTCGCTCTGTCCCATCGCCACCAGGGCTGACTGTGCTTATTCCGCAGATAGATCGGCTTCGCCCATCTCACTTCATCCTGACCGTTGGATCCAGAGTCTAGCGGTACATGCCCTCTTGCGTTAGAGCCTCCCTGCCTGTCCTCCTCCTGCTTTCTCCTGTGGCTCTTCTGCCTCTGGTGATGGCGCAGGCATAGGAAGAGGGCGAGGAGTAAGAGGAGAGCCGAGACGATGCTGGCAACGACCACGACGGCTAACACACCCACTGACACTGCAGCACCACCACTACTGACACTGCTGCTGCTGCTGCTGCTGCCCTTGTCACTGGTGCTGCCGGCTTCACTCCTGCTGCTATTGCTGTTGCTGTTCCTGTTGCGAGGGATAGGATTGCTGCCATCTGTTATGTTGTCGCCACCTGTAACATTATTGCTGCCCGTACCATCTTTAGCATCTGTAACATTGCTGCCAGGTCTGAGATTGCTGCTGCTGCTGCTGTTGCTCCCTGTCGCATGGCTGCCGCTATTGCTATTGCTGTTGCTGCTACTGTTGCTGTTGCTGCTACCGTTGCTGTTACTGCTACCACTGCTGTTGCTGCTACTGTTGCTGTTGGTACTGCTGGTATCACTAGTACCAGTGCGGTTGCTACTCCCACTGCTACTGCTGCTGTTGCGTAAGGCCCCCAACCTACTCCTCACATAGTCTCGTGGGAAACAAGGGCCTGAGATACACCCCTGGCCACACATCATTGGAGCTATATCACATGCAGCAGCAGTGCAGCACACAGGGGGCTGGAACCGAGGGCCACTCGTGTTACCATCAACAGGGTTACCAGCAGCACTGTTACCATCAGCACTGTTACCACTAGCAGCGGTGTTACCAGCAGCACTGTTACCACTATCAGCGGTGTTACCAGCGGTCTGGCAGGGGCCGGAGAGGCAGTCAGTAAGGCAAGCAGAGCCCAGGCCACAGCCGTAGAAGGAGGAGCAGCAGAGGTAGGGCGGGCAGGCCTGGGCGGCACAGTGGCGCAGCTGAAGCAGCGAGCGGGAATTGGGGAGGGGGGTTTGGGAGGAGACCAGAGAGAAGAGAGTTCCTAACACGTAACATGCTGAGAGAGACAGCCGAAGCAGGGAGCGGGAATGGCAGAGGGGGGCACGGGAGATTAAGGGGGTCGAGCTTTGGGAGGAGACTAGAGCGGCGAGAGTTCCTAGCACGCAGCACGCTAAGAGAGGCAGATGAAGTCCGGGTGGCGTCATCGTGCTCGTCCGTCCTTAGTACAGTGTGGCTCAGTGGGGAGGTAAAGCATTTGAGTCACGCTGATGGGTGTGGCAAGTAACAAGTGTAGCGGTAATATGAAGGCGATCAATGCCTGGTGCTTCCGTATTTTCTCTTTGAAGCCTGCTGAGAGGAGAAACAGAGAATGCAGAGGGGGAAAAGAATGTTAAGCTAATTAAAAAAAAGAGGGTCTAGTGATGCATCTGAGACCAGTTTCGTACATTCAGCGATCTTGCACGGCTGGTAACGGCTCAGGAGGACACGCCGCCGTTGTCTGTTGAGGCAACGGCTGATCCTTCCAGTCCTGGGGACGGTGGTCTGGAAACTGCAACTCCAGTTCGAGCTCGCGTGAGTCGCATGGATCGCACAGCGACGGCGCACTTTCGTCCAGTAGGCCTGACACGTCGCATGGCCACGTTGCCTGACGGGATTTACGAAGAGCGGCGTCAGACGTGACATTTACATCGCGACTTCGCACATTTGTCTTCGCCATGATTGGCTGGTTGGGCTTCAGTAGGCTTAGCTGGCAAGGAATCCAGCCTGGCGGGGTGAAATCCAAGGCGTGAGTGACTCTCAGTCATTCTACTCCGATCTGTTCCGGCAGCGGAGAATCCAATGAGGAACCCGACTAATCCCAAGGGTGACTGCTTGTGAGGGATCCCGACAGACGGACCAGATTCATCGGTTCATGTGGCTGTCAAAAAAAAAACCGACGAAAGGATAGGAAACCAAATTCCAGGATGTGAAATTTGACAGAAATTGCATTTCAAGAGACCGGACTGGTGGAACGGCGGCGATGATCTCGAGGTGGTGGCGAAGCAATAAAGGTTGAGGGAGGTGAATTCGCAGAAATCTTGATTTGTTACCAAACAAACTGTCCGACTTCCGTGCTGGTGGAGAAAGCAGGAGCGAATTTGGCGAGGAGAATTTGCATGAAGAGAATTTCGCGATGTTTCCGCACACTAATCGAAATCACTGCAATCCACCAACCAGACAGGTGTGCTTCAGCAGAGAACGTTCCGCTGCAGCTTACAAGCCAGTTTCAATTGCCTTTCCATGCACACCCTCCCTCATACCCTCCTAGACGAACTACGGCACGCATTCCATGAAGCCTTTAGACAGTAGTGCGCACCGCATTAGTTGGCAGGCGGCATTCATAACCAAGCGACGGTATTTTTACTTTCAACAGCTCACGTATTCTCCTCCCAGCATTGACATCGGGTGTTTGTCCTCCAAGTCTCACAGTCCTAGGGCGCACGTCCATGACTGATGTCGCTACAGCCACCGTGTAACAGTCGAAATGCGCTCGAACTTGTTTCGGCCTTGTAGGGACAAAACCACTTTGTCCGTAAGCCATCAAAGGGACTGATTTCGAGGTTTCGCGCCAATTGAGGTTGTTTTAGAGTTAGACTCCGGGAATAAGTACTAAAAACTAAAAGCTCGATTACGCCAATCTATGCGCTGGCTCCGAAAGCGAAGTCCCGCCCTGGGAAGGTTCGGGGAAGGGTCGGACGAGTCCCTTCCTTCGTCATGGACGTGTACATCAAGCTCCTCCGACGGCCGTCGATTCGGTCGCTTCGGTTGGCTGTCAGCCGTGCGATGCACGGGGGAGGATCCAAGGGCAGACAAACCGTCTTCCGTTACATTCTCTTGACTGTACTGGCTGTGATACTACTGAGGTGGTTCTTTGGGGGGCTTCCCCTGTTCCTATATAATCACGTCTACTATAAATCAGTCTCGATCAGACACATAAACCAGACTTTTATGCCTGACACGTGTCAGAGCCTCATGAAGTTGCCATATCGGCCAGCCAATCCGGAATGGGGTAGGTGCCTCTTGCTAAGGTGCCTCCTGCTAAGTTGCATCGTGCTAAGTTACGTCTTGCTAAGCTGCATCTTGCTAAGCTGCATCCCTTTCCATGGCACCAGTTTCACTCATGGCGCTTGTGTGCTTGCATCACCCCCCGCTTGTGTACATTTTGGTGCTGGCTTAGCCACACATAGCCAACATCTTTTCTTTCCGACCCGTCCTCGTCCACCATGCCACCGTGCCACCATGTCACCCTTCCTCGCCCTTTCCCTTCAACGCCAGGTAGGTTCACCCCCCATGGCGTCAACACCTTCGTATTCATCTCAGCGCATCGCATCAGCCCGCTCGACTTCGCAGTAATCGGCCTCTCAGCCCGCAGCATGCGCTCCCAGTGGCGCTCGGTGCGATCCAACGGTGGAGATTCGTCCGCGGCGGGCGAAGATCTGAGCGGCGGGTGCATGTGGGTGTCGTACGATGGGCCGCACACCATTAAAGGCAGCTTGGATTATCTCTTCCCGGGCGACCATGGCAACATGCCGTACGAGACAATTGTCATCAGATGCAACCTGGATAAGCCTACCCCAGCCGACCCTGGTGAGTAACTTCGGTGGTAAGGCAGAGTGAGCACACCATCAAGGGAACCTTGGAGTATCTGTTCCCGGGCGACCATGGCAACATGCCCTATGAAACGATTGTCATCCTCTACAACCTGGATAAGCCTACCCCAGCTGACCCTGGTGAGTAACATGTCGTGTCAGGAGATGACTTGCTGGATTGCCCGTGCGTCCTCCTCTCCTCTCCCCTCTCCCATGCCTCCCCTCTCCCATGCCTCCCCTCTCCCATGCCTCCCCTCTCCCATGCCTCCCCTCTCCCATGCCTCCCCTCTCCCCATGCCTCCCCTCTCCCGCCTCTCCCTCTTCTACAAGGCGGTTCTCTCTTGTACCACACTACCAGACATGCAAGTGCACCAAGAGGGAACTAGCATTCCTACAGTAGTTGGTAGTGTGGTGGGCTGGCTCATTTCTCTCCTCTCCTCCCTGCCCCGCCCTCTTCTGCAGGCGGCGCCCTCTTCTACCACCTCTCAGGGCGGGACATGCTGGTGCGTCGAGAGGAAACAAGCATTCCTGCAGTAGTTAGTTGGTAGTGTGGTGCGCTGGCTCATTTCTCTCCCCACCCCTCCCTCTCTTACAGGCGGCGCCCTTTTCTACCACATCTCAGGGCGGGACATGCTGGTGCATCGAGAGGACGACCTGAGACCGCCAGCCTCCACTGCCGCCGCTGCTGCTACAGCGACTGGGGGGAGTGGTCAGAGGGAGGGGGAGGGGGGGGAGGAGAGGGCTCCTGCTGCGAAGCGGATTCTCAACCCGCCACGGCCACTGCCCCACCAGATCTCCTTCTGCTCGCTGCTCATTGACCAGGAGGTGCGTGCCGTGCTGCTGCTGGGGATGCCTGCGTTGCATGCCGAGTGCTAACCGTACTGTACTGACACTTGAGTAACCATTACTGCCTCACCAGATCTCATGCTGCTCGCTGCTCATTGATAAGGAGGTGCGTGCCGTGCTGCTGCTGGGGCTGCCTGCATTGAATGCCAGTACCCTTGTACTTGACTCATCATTGCTGCTGCACCAACTCCCGTTCTGCTCCCTGCTCATTCACCAGGAGGTGATTGCTGCTAGAGGTACGTGCATTGTCTTCCCCAGCAAGTGTCCTAGAGAGCACATGCATTATCTGCTATTCTTTGGTGCACATGAGCTGACTTCATTGTCTATGCTCAACCATGTGTGTTCTCTCCATCGCCTTCCACCCTCCCCCCCCCTTGCAGTTCACCCCAGCGCGTGTCCTGGAGAGCACATGCAGTATCTGCTATTCTTTGGTGCAGGCGTTTTCGTTTTGATCTCAAATACCTGTGTTCCATTCCCCTTCCCCTCCACTCTCACATCTCACCCCAGCGCGTGTACTGGTGACTTTTGAGTCGACTCAAATGTCCTGGAGCACATGCAGTAGCTGATACTCTTTGGTGCAGGCGATCCATTTTCTACACTCAAACATGTGTTTACCCTTAATCCCCATCATGCCGACTCCCCTCCACTCTCTCAGTTCACTCCAGCGCGTGTCCTGGAGCACATGCAGTACCTGCTATTCTTTGGCGCGGACGATTTCATTTTCTACGATGGGGGCGGGTTCTCGGATGGCTTGAGGGACGCTGTCTCGAGGTTCACAGACGCGGGCATGCTGCAAGTGATGGACCTCAGGGGACTAGCTGAGTAAGTCCGGGATGCTGTTGACTCTGGTCTAGGGAATCGTCTGCGCCATGCCATGCTGAGTTGAGGTGCAAAGACGCCGGCGTGCTGCAAGTGATGGATCCCTGGGAGCTACCTGAATAAGACCAGGTTGACTCTGGCTGACTTTGCTTGACCAGCCAGGTCTGGTCAGCAAGGAAAGCCCCGCTAAACCCCCCCCCCCCCCCCTGCACCCAACAGCCCCCTCCCTCTTTCCCTCCTCCCAATTCATTCTCCCTTCCTTCCCAGCCTGCCAGCCCACCACAACGTGATCACGATGAACGACTGCGCCTATCGCACGCGCTTCACCTCGGAGTGGGTCATCTCGCTCGCCTTTGACGAGCTCCCACACGTCGTGGGTCCCTTCCGCCTCTCCACTCTGCTCGCCTTCCACGCCGGCCGCCCCTGGCTCTCCATGGGGTCCTACTCGTGGCACATCGAGCTGTGCCTCCCAATAACAGGTATGTTGTGGCCTGTTCGAAGGCACACTCTGGTAGTCATCTCATAAGCTGCTGCCCGTCGTGGGTCCCTTCCGCCTCTCCACTCCGCTCGCCTTCCACGCTGGCCGCCCCTGGCTGTCAATGGGCCGGCCCATCACAGGTACGCTGACTTCACCCGTAAGTAGCATGTGAGCCTGAGTCATCCTGTTGGTGTATTGGGCTGTGCCCCCCCTTATCACCGTATAAGCCTGAGATGCCCCTCGTCGTAGCACCCCTGGCCCTCCCTGCAGTCTTACCCACCTCTGTTCCTCCCATCTCTTCCCCGCCCTTCCTGCAGTGCCCGACCACTGAATTCAGCAGAGCATGGTGCTCCGACTGGTCTTCCCCACATGCCATGCCATCAGCCTTTCGCACGCCTCATCAGTACCCCCTCTGCTGATCAGTACCATAACATGCCATGCATGTTCCTCTGTTTCTCTCTCCACCTCCCGTGCCCCATGCGTGAGGAGTCTATTTTTGAGGCGCCTCAAAAATAGACTCATCAGTAGGCTATGTTCCTCTGTTTCTCTCTCCACCTCCCGTGCCCCCCACCCCAACCAGTACCCCGCAGCTCCCAACCACAGGCTCCAGCAGCACATGGTGTTTCGATCGGTCTTCCCCACATGCCTTGCCAACAGCGCTACCACCATCACTCCCCCCCCCCTCACCACTACCCCTCCTCTTTCTCTTCCCCTGTGCCCCTGCTACTGCAGCGCCCGACCACTGACTACAGCAGTGCACGGTGTTTCGATCGGTTCACCCAACTGCTCCACCGTCACTGCCTTCACTCTCTCCCTTTGCGTCCCTCTCCTTCCCTTTTACTCACTGCAGCGCCTAACCACTGGCTACAGCAGCGTATGGTCTTTAGGTCGGTTCACCCCACATGCCATGCCAGCAGCGGCACCAGCACCACCACAACCCCCACATTCATCACCGCTCCTCCTGCTGCTGCTGCTCTGGTTCCTCCTGCCTCTAACGCCACCAGCAACACCACGTCCCGCAAGCTAGCAGACGCAGCAGCAGCAGGAGGAGCAGCAGCAAATGCGAGTGGGGCTGCGACAGAGGGCCCATCGGAGCCTATGTTCACAGGAGACCCGAACATGTGCCTTGGGGAAGCAGGAAGGCGGAGAGTGATGTTTGACCCAAGACAGGTGAGCAGTTGTTTCTATTCTCACGAAGAATCAATGCCAGGTGAGATCTCTGCCTCCCCACATCCGTGTGATGGTGATTTACTTTTGAGATGTGTTAAAGCTGAACTCTGCCTCCTCACTCCCCCGCTGCCTCACCTTTTGTTCCCCCCCGTCCTCCCTACTCTTTAGATACATGCCATGGCAGAGCATTACTGCGCCATTCCTTTCCAGGGGGGAGTGGATCCTTGCCTCTCATCCTTGCCTGGCATTCCCCTGCAGGTTCATTTTGAGCCGACTCAAAATGCACCTTCGCCTCTATCCCTGTCTTGCCATTCCCTACTCTTTAGATACACGCCATGGCAGAGCATTACTGCGCCATTCCTTTCCGGGGGGGAGTGGATCTCAATGCGTCGATCATGCACACCAATAAGTACACTGTAAGCCAACTGAAGGTTTAAAGTGCATTTTGACGTTTGAGTCGACTCAGTAGATCATGCACACCAATAAGTACACTGTAAGCCACTCCTTTTACTGAAGTTTTGAAGTGCATTTTGACGTTTGAGTCGAATCAAAAGATCATGCACACCAATAAGTACACTGTAAGCCAACTCAACCAGCTTTGCCTTGTGAAGTTTCGAAAGTGCTTGCACCCTCCGACTCAACCAACTTTGCCTCCTGTCTCACTCTTTTCCCCACCTCCTCAATGACTTTTGAGGCGCCTCAAAAGCTCTCACACGTTTCCCCACCTCCTCAATGAGTATCAGCATATGCTTCCAACACAGTTCAGGGTTTCGGGTTAAGGGTTGACGCCACCAGCCTTCAATCACCAGCATATGCCTCCAAGAGTCCTCATATGGTAACCAGGTTACTTCTTGCCATTTCTAATCTCTTCCTCCCTCCCGATTCCTACAGGGACTGCTTGAGCCAGCTGCCCTTATATGCGAGCACCGCCTCATGAAGGGGACTGAGCCATGAACCCCCTCCCTTCCCGCTCTCCCCTGCTTCTCCCACCTCCTCCCGACTCCCCTGCAGGGACTGCTGGAACCGGCCGCCCTTATATGCGAGTACCACCTCGTGAAGGGGACTGAGCCATTAGCCCCCTCCCTTCCCCCGCTCCCCTGCTTCTCCCACCTCCTCCCGCGTCCCCTGCAGGGACTGCTGGAACCGGCCGCCCTTATATGCGAGTACCACCTGATGAAGGGGACTGAGCCGCGCAGCTACAAGCGCAAGATGCACGTAGCCAAGCTCATCAGACAGGGCCGACAAGCTGGCCTGATTGCTCTGCCTGTCAAAGAATGATGCATGTAAGGGGCACATGTGAGTAGCACCTGATGGAGGGGACACAGCCCCGCGCCGCAGCTACAACCAGAAGTAGCCAAGCTCATCAGACAGGGCCGACAAGCTGGCCTGATTGCTCTGCCTGTCAAAGAATGATTAGGTGACTAAAAAGGGAGCATGCGGCATGCTGCAGGAACAGGAGGCTTCTAGTGCTTGGTTTGGTTACCCTTCGTTGTGTGACAGCCAGAAATTTAAAATGCTCGTTGCCAAGCAGGATATGGCAGGCTCGGGTGGGGTGGCAAGTCTTCTAGAAGACAATTACCGGTATTTCTGCAAGGCATGAAGCCTACATTCCAGAACCCTTCTTGGAAAAGAATATAACCTAGATCAATCTCTGGTTTCGATTTGGACCCAACTGACACGCCCCTCCTCTGCCTGATGTCTCACTGCCCCCCGCAGAGCAAGGAGCACTTATGCCGCAAGCTGCAGACTCCACCTTATGCACGCAACAGCTCCATCAGGGGCACCTGCATGCTGGTTGGAGCTTGCATTGCGAGCAAGAGAGGACTCATGAGAGTGCTGACCGACCCTGGCAGGTCTTCATCATCTGGTGAGGCACTTATGCCAAACCTGGTGAGGAATCTACCGTATGCCGTCTGCAGCAGCTTGCGAGCCACGGCTGCTTTCAGTTACTTCATGAGAGCGCCGGCCCTTCAAGCCCCTCCTCTGCTGACCTAATCCGAGCAGCCCCTCATTTGAGTCGATTCAAAAGCAGATCCGAGCAAGCCCTCAAGCCCCCAGCACAAGCAGCACCTATGCTGTCTGCAGCTTGCGCACTGTGGCTGCTTTCAGCGACCTCATCAAAGACCCCATCTTGGCAAGGCCCTCCTCTGCTGTCTCGCTGCCTCCCAGCAGCTTGACCAGCGCTGACCCCACAATCACCCCGTCTGCTCCCCATGACACCACCTGGTGGGGAGCAGGGGTATGAGGGCACAGGAACAGAGCACAGCAAGGACAGAATGAGAAGGACGACGGCAGCCAATGGGTTTACTCTCCTTTCTCCCCTCCTCTGCTCTCTCGCTGGCCCCCAGCAGCCTGACCAGCGCTGACCCCACAATCACCCCGTCTGCTCCCCATGTTACCACCTGTTGGGGGGCAGGGGAACAATTATAGCAGAGCCAAGGGAGAGGTTGAGAGAGAGGAAGCCAAGGGAGGAATGCGCTTTCCTGTCGCCCCTCCTCTGCCATCTTTCTTCCTGCCCCCACAGCAGCTTGACCAGCGCTGACCCCACAATCAACCCGTCTGCTCCCCATGACACCACCTGGTGGGGAGAGGGGCGGGGCACAGATCGCACAGCAAGGACAGAAAGAGGGAGGGCAGACTTTGGGTTTAATCTCCTTTCGCCCCTCCTCTGCTGTCTCGCTGCCTCCCAGCAGCCTGACCAGCGCTGACCCACTATCACCCTGTCTGTCTGCTCCCCATAATACCACCTGGTGGGGGGAGGGGCAGGGCACAGATCGCATAGCAAGGACAGATTGAGAAGGAAGAGGGCAGACTTTGGGTATACTCTCCTTTCACCCCTCCTCTGCCGCCTCACTGCCCCCCCCTGACCTGTGCTGACCCTGTCTGCTCCCCACGACACCACCTGGTGAGCAGCAGGGGTGGGACACAGAGTGCACAGCTAGGACACAATGAGCGGACGTCTCATGTCCTTTCTCCCTCCATCTGACATCTCGCTGCCTGCCAGCAGCCTCACCAGCGCCGACCCACTATTTTGCAGGGTGTTTTTGAGAATTCTAAAAAATACCCTGCCTCACCAGCGCCGACCCACTATCACTCCGTCACTAGTTACTAGTACCTGTTCAGCGTGCTCAGGGGCGGAGATCCCGAAGGCAACGACAACAGGCTTATCTGTCTCGGCCTTGATGTGCTTCGGTAGCTGCTCCACTCGCCCCTGCACCGACTCAAAATACACCTAGCTGCTCCACCCGTCCCTGCACTGCCTTGCTACCAGGGAGGAATCAGAATGCATACCTGCTCAGCATGCTCAGGGGCGGAGATCCCGAAGCCAACGGCGACGGGCTTGTCCGTTTTGGTCTTGATGTCCTTCAGCAGCTGCTCCACCCGCCCCTGCACCGCCTGCCGCTCGCCCGTCACTCCCGTTAGACTCACCTGCAACACAGTTACACACACAGTCACACACAGAGGAATGAACACACATGCGCAGACACACACAGTTCAGAAGAGCCTTAGGATCTGCACTGCTTGTCGCTCCCCTGTCACTCTCGTCAAGCTCACCACCAGCAGGATTTGTGAGAAACGTCAGGGATCGTGCGAAAAAGGAGGACTCCATTCTACGGCCGAAGAGGACGTACCAGGAACAACGACGAAACGTATAACTTGCAAACCAGGCAGGTGATGAGGCAAAACGACCAGGCAGGTGATGAGGCAAAGCGGGAGTGTTAGGTTTTCTAGATTTTTTTTTAATGTTTTTTTTCCAATTCTAAAAAGCCTAACACATCTTGCAATATAGGGGGATGACGAGGGAAAGAGGGGGCCAGCTCACGAGGTAGAGGAAGCCTTGAGTGACGTCAGCAATGGCTCCCATTCTCTCTGTGGGTGTGGTGGGGGTCGTCAGCAGCACCTGCGTTGGGGGGAGGGGGAGGGGGGGAGAGGGGTTGAGAGGGCGGAGAGGGTGGGCAAACGATCCAATACATTCTGTGGGTGTGGTGGGCGTTGTTACCAGCACCTGCGATGGGGAGAACAGGAGGGGAAGAGGGGAGGGGAGGCGGGTAGAGAGGCCAGAAGAGGTGGCAAACGACTAAACACACTCTGTGGGTGTGGTGGGCGTCGTTGGCAGCACCAGTGGAGGTGGGGGGAGGGGAGAGAATGAGCCGGTGGGGGGAGAGGGGAGAATGAGCCGGTGGGGGGAGGGGGAGAATGGGCCAGTGGGGGGAGGGGGGAGAATGAGCCGGTGGGGAGAGGGGGGAGAATGGGCCGGTGGGGGGAGGGGGGAGAATGAACCGGTGGGGGGAGGGGGGAGAATGGGCCAGTGGGGGGAGGGGGGAGAATGGGCCGGTGGGGGAGGGGGGAGAATGAACTGGTGGGGGGAGGGGGGAGAATGGGCCGGTGGGGGGAAGGGGGAGAATGAGCCGGTGAGGGGAGGGGGGAGAATGGGTCGGTGGGGGGAGGGGGGAGAATGAGCCAGTGGGGGGAGGGGGGAGAATGGGCCGGTGAGGGGAGGGGGGAGAATGGGCCGGTGGGGGGAGGGGGGAGAATGAGCCGGTGGGGGGAGGGGGGAGAATAAGCGAGGGTGAATGTGAGGAGTCAACTTAGAAGTCACTCATGCAGCGAGACAAATGGCCAGGCGACAGGAAAAGGATCGGGTAGGACGTGCTTGCATCCGTACCAGTTCAAGCCCGTTCAAGCCTGTTCAAGCCCGTTCGCAGCGGCCAGCTCGTGCAGCACTTTGGTCTTCTCCAGGGGCACGTCCGGCTCCACTAGGCCGGCTGCTAGTCCATCACCCAACACTTGATTTCTCACCAGTTCAAGGCCGTTAGCAGTAGCCAGCTCACGGAGAACCTTGGTCTCTTCCAGAGGCACGTCTGGCACCACTAGGCCGGCCGCTAGCCCATACCCAACTCTTGGTTCCTCACCAGTTCGAGCCCGTTGGCAGGGGCCAGCTCTCGCAGCACTTTGGTCTCCTCCAGGGGCACGTCCAGCACCACTAGGCCCCCAGCTTTCGCACAATGTTGTTGACATGCTTCACACAGAAACCACTTCTGCTGGTCAGAGCACATACCAGGTGACTTTTGAGTCGACTCAAAAGTCGCTGGTCAGAGCACATACCAGTTCGAGCCCGTTGGCAGTAGCCAGCTCACGGAGCACCTTCGTCTCCTCCAGCGGCACATCCGGCACCACAAGGCCGGCCGCTCCCGCGGCTTTAATTTCTCCCATGAACTTGTTGGCGCCCCGCTTCATGATGGGGTTGTAGTACGTGAAGAGGACTATAGGAGCAGTCAGGGAGGGGGTGACCTGAGGAAATGGGAGGTGGAAGGGGTGGGAAGGGGTGGGAAACGGTGGCTTGAGTCCCCCCCATGAGCTTGTTGGCGCCCCGCTTCATGATGGGGTTGTAGTACGTGAAGAGGACTATAGGAGCAGTCAGGGAGGGGGTGACCTGAGGAAATGGGAGGTGGAAGGGGTGGGAAGGGGTGGGAAACGGTGGCTTGAGTCCCCCCCATGAGCTTGTTGGCGCTCCGCTTCATGATGGGGTTGTAGTACGTGAAGAGGACTATGGGGGCAGTCAGGGAGGGGGTGACGTGCAGGAGTTGGGGAAAAGGGGGAGAAGGATAAGAAAAGGGGCGCAATGCTTCATGATGGGTTTGTAGTACGTGAAGAGGACTATGGGGGAGGAGAGGGAGGGGGTGATCCGACCTGGAGGAGTTGGGGTTAGGCGAAGGGAGGGGGTTAGGGGAAGGGAGGGGGCAAGGGGAAACGGGAGGTAGGGTGGGAGACGGCGGCTTTGATCCCCCCCCGTGGACTTGTTGGCGCCTCGCTTCATGGTGGGGTCGTGGCAGGTGAAGAGGACTATGGGCGCGGAGAGGGAGGGGGTGACCTGGGCGGAAGAAAAGTGGGAGTGAGGGGGTAGACAGAAGCAAGGAGAAAAGGGAAGGGGAGAAGGGGAGAGGGGGAGAGGGGGAGAGGGGGAGAGGGAAACGGTGGTTTGAGTCCCCCCCATAAGCTTGTTGGCACCCCGCTTCATGATGGGGTTGTAATACGTGGAGAGGACTATGGGCGCGGAGAGGGAGGGGGTAACCTGGGAAAATGAGAGGTGGGAGGGAGGGGTGGGGGAGGGAGGGACGGGAAATGGGAAGCGGAAGGGAGACGGGGGCTTTGATTCCCCCCGTGAAATTGTTGGCGCCTCGCTTCATAAAACGCAGTCATAGTAGGTGAAGAGGACTATGGGCGCGGTGAGGGAGGGGGTGACCAGACGGTAGAAGTGGGGGGGAAAACATGGAGGTGCTTGGGACAGGAAGAGGATTGGCGCTAACGTTGATACATACGGCTGACATGGGTGAGATGCAAATTCTCGGACATCTTCCATCTCTTGCCGCCGCGCTCACTGGAAGTTGTCCGAGAATCGGCTGACTCGGGTGAGATGCGATGACTAATGGCACGATGCGATTTTACTTTTGTTGAGTCGACTCAAAAGTCATTTTGAAGCGCCTGAAAAGAGTATAGTTTTGAGTGATAGGAGTCTAGTTTTGAGGCGCCTCACAACTTGAGTCGACTCAAAAGTCATTTTGAGGCGCCTGAAAAGTAGAATCTTATCAAGAGAACTGGCGCTAGTCTTCGTGCATGAGGTTGGCGTTGGTGAGAGGATCGATTGGCAGGGAACGTTAGGAATTTCGCTTTGAGACGTCTCCGAACGAAAGTACTAACTAGCATGCGGGAAGATGAATGGCGCCAATTCTCATACATAAGGCTGACGCAGGTGAGAGAGAATCTACAGGCACCGTGCGAGAGGGGTGACTTCTGGTGGGGAAAGAGACAGGGATGGGTAAAGAGTGAAGTGGAGTGTTGGTAGATGAAGGGGGAGTTTGGAGACGGAATAGCCTGGGGAGGGGACGTTCACAGAGGAGAGAGTCTGGAGATGGAAGGTGAAGGAGAGAACAGGAGGGGGGAAGGAGGGAGGCGGAGGGAGGAGGGGGAAGGGGGGGGGAAAGGGAAAGGGGGGAAGGGGAAAGGGGGGAAGGATGCGGGAGAGGGGGAGGGGGAAGGAGAGATGGGAAGGGGAAGGGGAAGGGATAGGGCAGTTGCATACCCGTGAGAGGAGGTCGATCACTGACTGCAGGTCCACTGTTGAGTCGAGTCGACGCTTACCAGGCACCTTTACATACCCGTTTGTAAAGCATTCCTAAGGGGGCCCCGCTTACCCGTTTGAAAAGCATTCCCAAGGGAGCCCGCTTACCCGTGCGAGGAGGTCGATCACTGACTGCAGGTCCGTGTGGCCCGCCAGGGCTCGGGTGGCGGCTGCCTGCAATAGAAGAACAAACGCATAAATTCACGTGCCATTTCGTTTCAATCACACAAGTATCACCGCACACTAACAATTTAGGTTCCTGTAGGTGTTCCTTTCTTGCAAGAACATGCGATATCCTAAACCATTTAGTGACACGCTCACGCCACATTGCAATTACAAGGCCAACTGCAATAACGAGGATAAAGTGTACCTGGATCACGGGTCCGTCAGCAAGAGGGTCAGAGTACGGCACTCCCAATTCGATGACGTCAGCGCCAGTTTCGCACAGCAGCTTCAGCGCGCGCTCCGTTGTGCCAATATCGGGGTCCCCCGCGACTATAAAGGGGATAAGCGCCACCTGCAGTGGTTGCGGGATGAAATGCAGGGGAGCGAGTTATGATACCACGTGAGACGAGACAAGGAAAGCTAGTTAAATTTAAGCGGCAAATTGCGATCAAGGTAGTCAAACCAACTATACCCGAAACCCTCGTGTTGCCTAAGCCATGTACTCACCTCATTCTTCTCGCGAAGCTCTGCGAACTTCTCCGAAACGCTCTGCGACGAGCACGTTGTCGCCAATGCGCCGCTTCGTCTGTGCGCGCTGTTCGCAAGGGAAACATCCATTGAAAGTGACTTCCCTATCAGACTAGCTGAAGCCGAATTAAACTTCCTCGAAACGCCGCAAGCTGCTGAAACGATACGTGGACGACGAGAGGCTTCGCCAACAACCGCCTTTTGAGCGGTAGGGACCGTTGCTAGGCCTCTATGAGCTGACATCATCGTCGCCATTTTCAGCGCTGACGTGGCCGTAGCGCAGGGGTTGGCCCACCAGATAGGGAAGGCAAGTTCAACAGCGTTCCTACGTGGCAAACAGCAATCCCTGCTTGTGAATCGCAATTGCAGCTCGGCCTTCGAAGTACCGACCGCCGGTCGACAAGTCTGCACTGCAATGTGCCTGAACTGAATGGATGAAAGGCCGATGCTGAAAAAGACTTGATAGGCCGAAATGAGAATCCCAAGGTTCAGGCTTCCTGTGTGACAATCCCTGAGTAGACAATTTGTCTTGTCAGTTGCCCTTGGGTGCTGGGTTGGCTGGTGTGGTGGCGTCACGGGAAACCTTGAGAATTGGGATGCCATGCTTACGTGGCAGAGAGTTTGAGCTGTCAACCAATCGGGGGCATCTTCGGATTGCGATGTTACAAAGTTGCTGCTTTGAATAAGCGATCAAATCTTATGAGGAAAGGAGCTCTATTCAAGCGAGTTGCTCATAACAAGAATGAAGCCCTTGAATTGCATTTATCATAACATTTCATCTACCTAGCAAAGCAAAAGCCCACACCTGCCATGTAAACCCCTCAAATGCCCGTGCAATGGTGTGGTAAATGTGGTGGGCAAGTCTTTCGGAGCCAAAGCTGTGTAGTGTATCCTTCCTACCTGTTCCACTCAACACCCAACTCACTATTCTGGTTGCCACAAAATATTGGACAACACCCCTTTCAAAAAGCTTGGATAGGGTCATTTCTCTGCCACAAGCCCTCCTCGTCCTCTTCCTCCTCACTCTCCCCTCCCTTCTTCCCCCCTCTCGCCACCCCCCCTTCCTCCCCCTCTGCGATAGGACCAGCCACCTTTCGCCCCGTTCGTCTCCCTCCCATACCCTGAAACTCAAACTCAGGCTTCGCACCACCCCCCTCCATGCCCTCCCCATCCCCTCCTGTGCCCGTTCCGCCCCCCTCCCTCTGTGTATGCAGCCGTGCATTCACAATGCTCCGCCTCCTGCTGCTCATCTTCCTCCCCCCTCCAAACCCTCCTCTCCCCACCCCACCGCTCCCCGCCGCTCCTCCCATCCCTCCCACACCATACCCCTCCCCATACCCCCCAGCCACTTCTCCCCCAGCAGTGATAACACCGCTGCTGTTGCTGCCGCTGCTGCCCACGCCACTGCTGCTGCTGCTGCTGCTGCTTCCATTGGTGTCCGTGCCGCTGCTGCTGGTGCCGGTGCTGGCGCTGCTGACACTGCTGATGGTGCTGGCCAAACCAACACCACCACCACCACCACCAACCAAACTACCCGTAGCACCAGCCCCCGGGCCTCGCCCTGCGAGCCCTCCCCGCCCCCTCCCTCTGATCCTCCTACTGAAAGCACTTGGTGCGTATTTCAAGGGACTTAGTGCCGGTGCAGTGGAATCCTCCTCCCTCAACCAAGAATCATTCACACCCCCGTCTTCTCCTCCCCCTCCTCCTCCTCCACCACCTGTTCTACTGCTCCCGCCACCCCCCCTCTCTCTCGTCAGTCGCTCCTCTTCCTGCCTTGCCCGCTCAAAAAACGCCTCCTCACTCTCGTTCGACGCTGCCTTGTGGATCGGAGAGTGACCCCTCGCTCCCCCTCCTAGCCCACCCCCCACTCCCCTTGCCCCTCCCGAATCGTACGAGTAGGCCTTCCCAAAAGCATCCCCAGAAAAGTCCTCTCGTTCTCCATGCCTCCCCCTCCCATCATACCCCCTCCTACCCTCCTCCCACTCCCTCGCATCATCCCCACTCAGCCTGCCGCTGCTGCTCCCCTCACTGCCCCCCTCCCCTCCCTTGACATACGCCTGCACAGACGAGTCCTCAGATAGGCCCCTAGGAACACCCTCAAGGTTACTCGCAGGGAAGCCTCTTAACACATGCTCTAGAAGCGGGGATGGCGGGGTGCCAGGCTGGCTATCCCGCCCCTCTCTCCCGTCCCTGTGGCCCTCCCCCTTGTCCTTTTTCAGGTTCAGCCGCAGCAGGTTCGGCAGTCCTTTCCCGCCCTTGTGGTGGTGCGGCTGCCCGGACGAGGATCCCCCGGCTGAACTCGAGGTTGGGAAGGCGCTGCCCCCGCCGCCGCTTCCGCGTAGGATCGGAGGCGACAGCAGCACGGCCGCTAGGGAGGATCGGAAGCTTGAGCCTCCCTCCCGTCCCACTGACCTACTATCCGTGTGAATGCTGGATGGAGGGGAGCCCGCTAGATCGGGCGAAGCCGACCCATCTGCTTGCTGGTGCTGCTGTGTCCCTATCATAGAGCCAGCCGACCACCTACGATCCATGGAGGGAGAGGAGGAGTGGCGGTCGAATATGCGTCGCTCCATGGACGTTCGTTCCATGGATCCCCGATCGCGGTCCAAAGCGCCCCGCTCCGATGGGCGCCTCTCCATTGAGTTGGTTGGGGAGATCCGATCCAGCAGCGACAGGCTCGGCGACTGCCGACCCATGGACTGGCTCGGCGAGCTGCTGATCGAGCCTGATGACAGGCTTGGTTGGGATTGCAGCTCCGGGAAGGAGCCGGAGCTACCACCACCAGCAGCAGCAACTGCAGCAGCTGCAGCCGCGGCAGTGCTAGTACCTGCTGCACCTGATTTACCAGGAGAAGCATGCCTGTGGGTGCGCGAGAGAGGGGAAAGGGAGCGTTTGAGCCGCGCCAAAGGGGACTTGGACCTCTCTTTCTTGCCAGCCCCAGCAGCAGTAGCAGCAGCAGGCGCAGCAGTATCAGGTAGAGAGGAGGAGCGAGGGGAGGCGTAAGAGGAGGGGGAGCGAGGAGGATGCGCTGGGGATGCGCGAGGGCGGGGGGCGTCGGGGGAGGGATCTGGGGAGGCATCAAGTGTATCGTAGGAAGATGTGGTGGCCATGTAAAAGGCAGCAGCAGAGGGGGAAAGGGTCAGTGAGGGTCCTGGTCCCGTTTCCTCTCTGCTCATCCCTTGACTGTAGTACTGCTCGTCAGTCTCCTCCTCCTCCTCCTCCTCCTCCCATTCCTGCTCCCCCCCTCCCTTCCACCCATCCGCCTCATCCGCCTCATCGTACTCCCCATCCCATCCGCCTCTGCCGTCTCCCCTGTCGTCTCCCCTGCCGTCTCCCCTGCCATGGCCACCTGGAGCACCACCATGTGTGACACCACCAGCAAGGTCATCCATTTCCGCATACTCCTCCTCGTCATCATAATACTCATTCCGTGCCGCCTGCTGTTGCTGCTGCTGCTGCTGCTGCTGCTGCCACTGCTGCTGCCGCTGCTGCCGTGCGGCGTACAATCCTCCCGACGGCATTTGAGAGGGCGAGGGCAGCTCGTGCTGCGGAGCATCGAAGTCTAAGCTGCCTCCCCCCATCATCTCTGCCTGCCCCTCACGCCTTTGAGGCACCTCGAAGGCCAACTCGTGTTGAGAAGCGTCGAAGTCCAAACTCCCTTCTCCCATCGTTCCTCTGCACCCCACACTCTCCACCTCCTCCTCGTCTTCCTCATCCTCCTTCTCCACCCTTCCTTGCACGTCTGCGTAGGGAATAGTTGGGCGAACCCTGGTGTTGGGTGAGAGAGAAGAGGGGGAGGGGGAGCGAGTGGAGTGGGAGGCAGAGGCGGGAGCAGAGGCGCGCTCCATGCTCCTATCCTCTCCTGGTCGGCCCTTCCTACCAGCCGCTGCTGCTCGCCTCTCCTCTTGCTGACGCTGCTGCTGCTGCTGCTGCTGCCATTGCCGCTCCTCCTCCTCCTCCGCCTCCTCCTCCTCCCTCTGCTGTCGCTCCCTCTGCTGCTGCATCTCCTGCTGCTTCTTCTTCGCTTCTCTCTCCTTCTTCTTACCCGCCTTCTCCTTCCCCCCCAGCGGCGAAAGCGCTGGCACAGCAGCAGCAGCAGCAGCCGATGATCCATACCTAGCCATCCCCTTCTCCTCCTCGTCCCCCTCCCAAACGGCAACCTGCGGGGTCTGGGTCTGGGTCTGGGCCGCCTTCTTTCCCGCCCTCTTACCGCCCTCCTTCTCCCCCCCTTTTCTCCTCTCACCCTTTGCTGACGACGATGATGTGCCTGATGACGAGCGCGAGGCAGAAGACGCTGCACTCACGGTTCTCCCCAAACCATCATCCTCCTCCCCCCCCCCATCCCTCAGCATCTGCTGCACTACACTCTTCTTTGACACCTTCTTCCCCTCCTTCCCTTCCTTCTTCCCTTCCCCAGCTTGCTTCTTCTTTCCCGTGCCTCCCTCCACTGCCCCCCTCTCCCCCCTCTCCCCCCTCTCCCCCCTCTCCCCCCTCTCCCCGTCCGCACTGCCCTGCTGTGACCCTTTCTTCCCACCCTTCCCCTTCTTCCCCTCCTTCCCCGAAGGAGCAGATTCAGATGAGGAAATCGGCCCCAGCCATTGCCCTTCTTCTGCATCTCCCTCCCATCTCTCCTCACTCTCCCCTCTCTCCCCTCTGCCCCCACTATCAGCGCCCACACTCTCGTCCCAGTGCACATGCACCTGCTTCTGCTGCCGCCCCACGCCAGGCGACTTCTGAGTCATATCGTACAAGTCAGAAGAGCCAGAGGAGCCAGGTCGGCCCTCAGACTTCACCCGCTGCAAGGGGGCCTTCTTCCCACTCTTCTTCTTTCCCCCCCCACCCCCACCCGCACCCGCACCCGCACCCGCACCCGCACCCCCTGGCTTCTGTATGCTATCAAGGTGGGATGCAGGCGCTGTGGCTGCCCGGGCCATGGCTCTAACAGGCACCGGCTCTTCTTCTGCCTCCTCTTCTGCCTCCTCCTCCTCCTCATACACATCCCCGTCCTCAACGTCCTCCCCTGGGTACGGCCTATCCCAAGTCACTCTCTGTTTCGGCCTCTGCGCCTGCCTCTGCTGCTCCTGCCGATACTCCTGCTCCAATCTCTCCTGCTCTAGTTGCTGCTGCTCCCACTCTTCCTGCTCCTCCTGCTGCTGCCGCTGCCACTCCTCCTGCTGCTTTACCTGCTGCGGGTTAACCCCCCCCCTGCCTTCCTGCCTGCTCGCCTGCACGGCCCTAGGAGCCTGCTCATACACTACCTCCTCCTCCCCTTCCTCCTCTCCCTCCTCCCACCCCTCTCCCTCCTCCCAGTCCTCTCCTTCTTCCCAGTCCTCTTCCTCCTCAACCATACGCATATACTCAGCCCTTCCCTCTGGGAAATCCACAGTTCCCTCCTCCCACCTCCCATCCGCCTCCCCTTCCGCCCCCCCCTCCATCCACCCCTCACCTCCCCCGTCCGCCCTCCTTCCTGCCCTCCCTTCCGCCCTCCCTGCCGTCCTCCCATCCATCCTTGCCTCCCCGCCCCCCCCACCACGGCCTGTGGGCCCCACTGCAGCGGCGGGCGGGGTGGCAGGCAGAGCAGCCGTCCTCACCAAGTCAGCATCCTCCGCGTTCTCCTCCCACAAAGCTCGCCCCCTCCCTCCTCCCTTCCCTCCTCCTCCTCTCCCTCCTTCCCCCCCCCTCCTCCTTCCCTCCCTTCCCTCCCTTCCGCCCACTTCTTCCCATCCAACCTCTGCACTCTATCCGCCCCTCCTTCCCTCCCGTCCCTCCCGTCCCTCCCGTCCCTCCCGTCCCTCCCGTCCCTCCCGTCCCTCCCGGCCCTCCCATCTGCCCATTTCTTCCCGTCCAACCTTTGCATTTTTTCTCCTCTGACCGGGGCAGCAGTGGCCGCAGTGACGGCGCGCACCAGGCTATCATCATCAGAATCCTCCTCCCAAAGCGGCTGCACTTTCTTCTGTGCGCCACCAGCACCTCCCTTCCCGCCCCCACCGGAACCGCCCGCTTTTACCCCTCCGCTGGCTCTGGTTACCCCCACGCCCGCGGCTGTAACCGCTGCACCCACAGTGGTAGCAGACGCGGTAACCGCCCGAACCAGCGACTCATCGTCCGAATCCTCCTCCCAGAGCGGCTTCTTCTTCCCCCCCTCCTCCCCCGCCCCATCCTGCGCCCCTCTCCCTTGTCTGCCTCCCTCTCCCCCGTCCTTCTTAGACGGGAGCGTCACAGATCTTACCAAGTCCTCATCGTCTGTGTCCTCTTCCCAGAGGGGTTTCACCACCCTCCCTGTCCTCTCTTTCTCCGACCCTCCACGCATCATCGCCCGCACTCCCCCTCTCTCTCCCCCCCTCACCTGCTCTCTCCTTCCTCCCGCTCTCCCTCCTCCCGCTCTCTCGCCTCCCCCCCTCTCGTCGCCCTCCTCTTGGCACGTCGACAGCACAGATCGCACTAGGTCCTGCTCCTCCGTATCTTCCTCCCAAAGAGGCTTCACCTTTCCTGGGGCCTTTTTCGCACCGGCCTGACCACCTGAGGGCACTTGAGGGGACGGCTTAGCACCTTTCACTCCTGTTGGCTTGCTCCCCTTGACAAGCCCTACCTTCACTACCCCGCCTCCTTTTCCCCCTCCCCCGCCTCCCCCGCCTCCCCCTCCCCCGCCCCTCATCGCTCGAAGGGCAGAAGCAGCAGAGTCCCTCTCATCCCCCCTGATAGCACCGGCTAGCACTGCTGCCGATGCAGAAGCAGACCTAAACGGGGATGACGAAGGGGCGGCGGATCGGGCCGAGGAGGAAGATGAGGAGGAGAGGAGGGAGGAGGACAGGGACGACTGGGACAGCAGCAGGGGCGAGCTCCCAATCCCGTCCGTCGGGCTGCAGCTCGCCGTCCGCTTCGCTTTAAATATCCCTGTTACAAGCACCTGCCGCGGCTCCCCCCCTGCCTTCGCCAGGGCCTTCTCCGCCTGTGCTGCCGCCAGAGCAGCCGCCTTCCGGGATCGGATCTGAGTGGTATTGGACGGGTCAGAGGCGACAAGCAGGGAGAGGCCCTCTAGGGAGTCGATGAGGGTTGCGGTGACGGCGTCTTTTTGTGCATGGAAGAGGGTCTGCACCTGCAGCACGTGGTTCGAAGCGGTCACTGAGGTTTTGCGGATGGAGTTGAGCTCTGAGAAGGTGATGGTGTTGCGGGCGAGCGTGGGGAGAAACTCCATCCCCCACTTGAGCTTCCGCTCCCATGGCGCGTCCGCCTCCCCCTCCTCGTCTTCCCCCTTCCCCCCTCCCTTTCCCCCTCCCTTTCCTCCTCCCGCTCCTCCGCCGCCTCCCCCTGCTCCCCCCTTGCCCCCGAGCCAGACGAACCCGTCCTCATCTTCATCCGAGTCTGAGGACGAGGCTCGGGGGAGCCCCGCTCGGCGCCGAGCCTCGTCCTCCTGCTCGCGCTTCTGCTGTTGCTCCTTCATCACGGGGATGAGGCGGCCCGCCAGGACCATGCGCATGTCGTTGGTGAGCATGCCAAAGAGCTCGTCCCTGGAGGTAAAGGATAGAGGGAAGTGGGAATAGGATGAAGAGAGGGAGAGGCGAGAGTATCTTCATCATCATGGGGATGAGGCGGCCCGCCAGGACCATGCGCATGTCGTTGGTGAGCATGCCAAACAGCTCGTCCCTGAGGGGTGGAGGAGGGGCGCGGAAACGAGGGTGCGAGGGAGGGAGGATAAAGGGTCAACTCTAAGGGAAGCCTGCCAGGCACGACTGTGCGCATCTCGTTGGTTTAGCATCCCAAACAGCTCGTCCCTGGATGGAGGGGAGGGGGAAGAGGAGGGGGGAGAGGAGGAAGACTTTTGAGTCGACAGGCCGGAGTTGTGATCACGCACGCGGTGCAGCCATCTTCGTTATACTCCTCTCCATGCCACACAGCCAGACACAGAGGGAAGGGGGGAGAGGAGTGGGTACCTGGCGCCACCAGCCGCCATGAAGGGGTACTTCATGAGCTTCTCCTCAGCGAGCAGGGTGATATGCGACGTGCATACCGCAGAGCCAGGCCCCTCTCTGTCCTCGTTAAAGTCATGCACCTGGCCCGTTATAGTCACGCACCTGGTGGTGCCACCAGCCGCCATGAAGGGGTACTTCATCAGCTTCTCGGCCAGCAGGATGATGCGCGCATACCGCAGAGCCAGGCCCGCCGACCCCAGCGTCTCGTTCTCCAAGAGGCCCTCGTCGGAGCGGGCGTCGATGCCGAAGACGGAGAGGATGCGATCGCGGATCATGAAGACGGTTAGGACCATGATCTGGATGGGAGAGGGGGGGTTTAGGGGGGGGGGAAGGGGGGGTGAGGGGGGGGAGAGGGGGGGTTTAGGGGGGGGGAAGGGGGGGTGAGGGGGGGGGAGAGGGGGGGGACGACAAAGGGTGCTCCATGAGATTGTGGCCGGAGCAGGCGTCGATGCCACAACGGAGAGGATGAGATCGCGAACCATGGAGACAGTCAGCACGAGGATCTGGAGGGGAGAGAAGGGGGGAGGGGAGGGGAAGGTGGGGGGGGGAAGGAGGAAAAGGGGAGATGGGATGAGGAGGGGGGACAAACACTTCCCCTGACCATCAGGTGCTCGTTACAAACACGCCCCCGTTTTAGTCACCCCCATCACAAGCACATCCCTTATAACTACACCCACCCTGACAACGTGGTCGAGCTCCACCGCCCAGAGAGTCCTCATCTGCAGCTCTGTGAGACGAGTCATCTGACCATTAGGTGTCTCCTACCAGCACATCCCTGTTAAAGTCACACCCATCATAAGCATATCCGTTTTAAGCACACCCACCCTGACAACATAGTTGAGCTCCACAGCCCAGAGAGTCCTCGCTTGCAGCTCTGTGAGACCACGTACCCCACATTCAAATACTCGTTATAGTCACAACCACTATAGTCACACCCACTACAGTTTCACCCACCCTGACAACATGGTCGAGCTCCACTGCCCAGAGAGTCCTGGCCTGCAGCTCCGTGAGGCGAGTCATCTGAACCAGAGAGCGGTGGGAAAAGGAGGGAGGGAGGGTGGTAGGGAAGAGTCATCTGTGAGGGTGGTAGGGAAGAGTCATCTGTGAGGGTGGTAGGGAAGAGTCATCTGTGAGGGTGACAGAGACAGACAATAATCTGAGAGCGCCGGAGCGCCAAGTGAACGAGCGAGGTGCGGAAAACAAGGGAAGGAAGGAGAGGAGGGAGGGGGGGTGGTAGAGGGGTATGGATGGAGGCACCACCGAGGAGGGCAGGCAACGGGATAAATGGCACAAGTAGACACTTTTGTTTTGCGGCGCCTCAAAACTAGACTCCTATGCAAGTAGACACTTTGTTTTGAGGCGCCTCAAAACTACACTCCTATGCAAGTAGACACTTCGTTTTGAGGCGCCTCAAAACTACACTCCTATGCAAGTAGACACTTTGTTTTGAGGCGCCTCAAAACTAGACTCCTATGCAAGTAGAAACTTGGCGCACGAGACTCCTGGTACTAGCCTGTACTTCCTGCATGATACCAGGGGATGCGTTACAAGCAGAACCGTTACAAGCAAACTCGCTATGTGCAACTCGCTAAAAGCAGACTCGCTACAAGCAGACTCGCTACAAGCAGCGCACCAGTCGGAAGATCTCCTCCCCGCCGGGGATGTCGCATGGCAGGGCGGGCTTGGCTATGCCCAGCTGCCCCAGCACCGCGTCATCAAACGAGTCGCTGATGTCGCGGATTAGCGGGGAGTTGCCACTGCTGCGGCTGCTGGAGGTGGTGCTGCTGCCGCTGGGCCTGAAAAGGTGGGAGGGGATCGGGGGGTAAGAGGGGCGCATGAGAGAGTAAGGCCGGATTGAGCCACACTGGGTTGCGCCATGCCCTGCTGCCCCACTGGGTTGCGCCATGCCCAGCTGCCCCAGAGATGTGAGGCGGCGGCTAGAGACATGACGGCATGTGTGGCAATACGTGGGGTGTGGCATTCAGCCGTGGGTGGCAACAAAGCACGCACTGGGGGAAGGAGGAGTCGAGCTCGTAGTCCTCAGAGACGGACTCGAGCTCCGCCAGCAGGTTGGAGGAGGCTGACGACCGCGATGCCAGACCCTGCATCTTCCTGCCATGTGCCATACCATGCCGGGACGTGCCATCACCATGCCATACCATGCCATACCATGCCATGCCACGCCATAATGTGCCGGGAAGAATCGGAGTGGAGATAAGGAAGGAGAGCGAGGGCGGGATCGCGTGAGGCTCTCTTGATACAAGGACGTACAGTCAGCCTACACAAGAGCACCCACATGACACAACAGCGCTCATCCACATAAGACCACTCACTTAATACTCGATCGCACGGTGTTGATCCGCTCCATGCACTGCCGCAGCTCCTCCACCCGCTCCACCTGCTCCCGCATGTAGCTGGGACACGGGAGGTGGAGGAGGAGAGGGGGACATGAGGAGAGGGGGAGAGGGGGGCATGAGGAGAGGGGGAGAGGGGGGCATGAGGAGAGGGGGAGAGGGGGATATGAGGAGAGGGGGAGAGGGGAGCATGAGGAGAGGGGGAGAGGGGAGCATGAGGAGATGGGGAGAGGGGGGCATGAGGAGAGGGGGAGAGGGGGGCATGAGGAGAGGGGGAGAGGGGGATATGAGGAGAGGGGGAGAGGGGAGCATGAGGAGAGGGGGAGAGGGGGGCATGAGGAGAGGGGGAGAGGGGGACATGAGGAGAGGGGGACACATGAGGAGAGGGGAAGAGGGGGACATGAGGAGAGGGGGAGAGGGGGACATGAGGAGAAGGGGAGAGGGGGATATGAGGAGAGGGGGAGAGGGGAGCATGAGGAGAGGGGGAGAGGGGAGCATGAGGAGAGGGGGAGAGGGGGGCATGAGGAGAGCGGGAGAGGGGGGAGAGGAAGCGGGAATGAGAGGAGGGAGGGATGAAAGGAGGCGCATTGGCCCCATGCACTGCCGCAGCTCCTCCACCCGCTCCACCCGCTCCCTCGTGTAGCTGGGGTGCAGAGAAGAGTGTAGGGAAAGGGGGAAGGGGGAAGGTGGAAGGTGGTTGTGATTGAGGTAGGAACGAGGTGCTCATCAGGGGGAAGGACCTCAAAATAGCCACCCTAGTCCCTAACACTCGTTATCATGTTCACAACCTCTCTTTCTCCCTAGCACAACCTCTCCTGGCAGCGCCCACACATTACTTCGGGCTCCCCCCCCTCTCTCTCACTCCACCACTCACCACATGAGGCCCTCCTCCCCCCCTCACACTCCCCCGCTCACCACATGAGGCTCTTTCCCCCCTCTTACACCCCTCTCTCCCCCCTCCCCCCATCACCAAATGAGCCAAAGTAATCCCTCCCACACACCCCCCCCCTCCTCATTACATGAGGCTCTTCCCCCTTCTTACACTCTTCTCTCCCCCCTCCCCCGCTCACCACATGAGGCTCTCCTGCTCGCCCGGTTGAAGGCGGAACGAGGGGAACTCCGTGTCGGAATGCCACAGCTCGTTAAAAAAGAGCGCCACCCCGTGCAGCCAAGCTGCTGCCTCAGTCGGTCAGAAATCTCTCCCACACTCAACACATGAGACTGGCGCTCTCTCTCCCTCCCCCATCCCACACTTCCCAACTCACCCTAAGAGCCTCTCCTCGTCGTCCCCTCTCACACTCTTCTCTCCCCCCCCCCTCACCACATGAGGCTCTCCTGCTCGCCGGGCTGCAGGCGGAACGAGGGGAACTCCGTATCAGGATGCCTCAGCTCGTTGAAAAACAGCGCCAGCCCATGCAGCCGCGTCTCCTCGCACTTCATCCCCATGGCCGCCACCCGCTCCGCCAGCTTCTCAAGGTTTTCCATCATCTCCAGACCTGGGGGGGAGGGAGGGGGGGAGGGGAAAAAGTCAGGGGGAGCGGGCGGGGGGGTAGGGGGAAGGGAAAGGGGGGGGATAAGGCCCCGTGCATCCGCGTTTTTGCACTTCATCCCCATACCGTCACCCGCTCAGCCAGCTTCTCTAGGTATTGCTTTTGAGTCGACTCAAAAGCTTCTCTAGGTAGATGTTTCGGCATCTCCAGACCTGGGGGGAGGGGAGGAGGGAGGGGGGATGTGGGGGTCGGGGGGAGGAGGGGTTGAGGGGTGTGGGGGGTTGGAACTTGGAAGCACATCACATCACACCACACGGCATGACGTGGCATGGCATGAAATGACGACACGGTATGACCACCCATGAAAGGACAAGCCATCACACGGAATGACCCCGCACGACACGACATTAATGTATGCATCACATCCGCAGAAACAGCAACCCGCCGAGCCAGACGTACCTGCGAGCGTCCACAGGCGCACGGGGTCGTGGTACACGAAGAGAATGAGGGCCGTATCCTGCCATGGGGACGTGTGGGACGGGTGGTACGGGTGGGACGGGACGGGAGGGACAGGAGAGACGGGAGGGACGGGAGGGACGGGAGGGACGGGAGGGACGGGAGGGACGGGAGGGACGGGAGGGACGTGAGGGAACAAGGGAAAATAATGAGGAAAAACGGCGAGGAGTAGCTAAAGACAGCATTGGGGACTTCACATTCAACTGAAACACGCAAAGCGTACTGGACATCGCTCTTTTAAAAACAGAAAGCGGTAAGCGCGCCACAGGTACACGCACATTCCAGGCGAATCGCAGGGCCCACCTGGAGGCTGGTCATGAGCCGTTCGATCTCCACGGGGCTCATCATCGACCACAGCCGCAGCGCCTGCTGCATCACCGAAGCCGCCTCGATCGACACGAATCCCGCCGTCGGCACGAACCCCTGCGCCGGCGCTCCCGCGGCGTCGCGACGGTCCCGCGACGAGTACGCGTCGTCCTGGCCTCGCCGCGCGGCATTCTTAGTGCCCTTCTGCGCGGTTAGGAACTTTCTGTTTCCGGACTTTCCGGAACCGAAGACGCGTGTCGCGAGCTCGTGTATGGAGTCGGGAAGGGGAGCGCGGGGGCATTGGTCAGGTACGGGGTTGGACGGGTGCCGTAGCAGCGGCTTCGGCATCGTTGTGGATAAATAAATAACGCTCAGGCCAGACGAGGTCAGGCGCAGGCCGTGTGCTAAATGGTGACAAGACTCTGAGAAAGGGGAATAGTTGCACGTCTCATGGTGTCGTTAGGGATTAAAATGGCAGTAACGGCAGCACATTGAGCAAACAGACCGAATGGTGGAAGTTAGGTCTCGACAAAACACTAAACGGCAACCCTACGGTCAGCGACTATTCGTTCGTCAGTGTCCTTCCCAAACGTGAGAGAATGGGACCCTAATGTACGGCAGCCAGCCGAGGTCAGGCCTTCCTCGACGGGGAATTGCCGGCACGTTTCTGATGATTCCGGCATACCACTTTCTCGCCAGAAAATCTTAGACTACCTAACTAAGGAGCACAAGAGCCGCCATCAGTGAAAAGCACCAGCCCAACCAACCCATAGTTCGCTGTGCCCGTAGTTCCCAGTGCCGTGCGTGAACTAGCGAGAAAGACGAAATGATATACAGTGACGAATGAAGTACAGTGTGTACTGAAAATAACAGTCGAGCAGCCCAGCCTCACCAAACTGAAGGTCCCAAAAGACGAGCCAGCACGCCAGGCTCGATACTCGCCAAACCCAGCCTCCCTCCACAATCATGTCAGGCTCGGTGAGCAGCAATTTCGTCTGATAGTCGCTAACAAGGTTCGGGTTTGTAGTTTGAACCCGTGTCTGGGTCTGCGTTTGGTGGATTCTCCTTTAGGGCCACGTGGCAGGTTGGGGAATTCGCTGGTGTGGAAACGGTTTGGAAACGCGCGTTGTTGGTCTGGCAAGGGAACGAGCCAGAATGCAAGGGGGCTGAAATGTAGCCTGCAGTAAGCCCTACAACATACCATGGCTACTGAAGGGTCCTGGCTTTGCATGTGTCCTAGCTCCACATGTGGAGCCTCGAACGTGCAACCAAGGATGCACTTACAACCACACATAAATATTAATAATTAAAGGTATGTCACCACATCCCCTCAATCCTTGCAATCTGTAATACCCTCTGGCGCAAGGAGGTACCTCGCCTCCGCCTCCGGCAGACAAGGTGAGCAAATAATCTTACATATTCTCTCATCCCCTCGGCCCTTCCTCACGTATAGCCTGAAATCAAGCAACATACGACGTGTCAGCGCATTTCCAGCATTAACGAGAGGTACAACACTCGGATAGGTAGGGGTACCTTGTTGTGGATGCATGAGCCATGATGTTGCCACCAATAGGCTTCACTTGAGGGCCAGCAAACATGTTGCCATCAACAGACGCCACCACTTGGTTGGTCACAACCACTGCACAAGAGTGCTGTGGAAGCACAAGAAAAATAAAAAATATTGAGGTGATATGGGTTGGCAGCAGAGAAGCGGAAAGCTGTGAAAGTCACCTCGTCGGCAAGGCGCTGTAACGATCTTAAAAACCGAGCTAGATGCAACTGTCGTGCTGCCAGTTCTCCTCTGCCTGAGTAGTCTGTCCTGTAGAGACCAGTGACGCTGTCAACTATTATCAGAGAAAATCTGCAGCAGAAGAAACGTAGTGTAAGCACCAGCACAACTTTACCCAACGACATGAGCAAAATGAGCAGCAGCACCACCAAAATGCTAACGGCTCACAACAGCACTTGCCTGCACTCAGCCATCATGGCTCCTCCCTCAATGAGTAGCTGTGACTGGTGGTCTGTGTTGTGCGCCCGTGCAACCGCTATATTGTCAAGCACATCCGTCGGATTTAGTCCAAACCGCTGAGAAATCTCCACGCACCGCTCTGGTCTGAAGGTTCCTTCCGTGTCAATGATGAGGACCTTGCCCTCGCCTCCGCCATTGGCGAGTGGAAGCTGCAAGCAAAAACTCAAGGCACTGTTAATGGGATCTTGGAGAGAACAAACGCACAAAACACAGCTGAGACGGAAGAAGAAAAGACTCGCCTGACAAGTGACAGCCAGTGTATGGCAAAGCTGCGTCTTTCCTGTGCGGAACTCGCCATAAATCTCCGTTATGGACCCTGTCTCCACACCACCTGAAATAAGAACTCCACGATTTTAGAGCGCCATATTTCGAACGGCTGGTATCACAACACAATAACCCTGATGATCACATCCCCCGAATCATATACCTTGCAGGATCGCATCAAGCTCCTTCGAGCCTGTAGTTATCTGAATTATCTCGCCCCGCAACTGATGCAAGTGAGTTGCACTCTGGAAGCCCATGGGAACAAGCTTGCTGGCTGGGCAAACAAAAACCAAACTCAGTTAAGAGGCACTGAACCCAAGAAAACGTCTAGGAGGAATGAGTGGGACTTGCCTGCTTCTGTCAAGCGGTCGACTTTTGCTTCGCTGATGCCTTTGATCTTGAGGAGGTCTTTTCGACTTGTATATGCTACTGCTTCGACCGTGAACATTCCTCCTTCGCGAAGCTTCTTCACATCGGTGGCGGAAATACCGCATTGCTGAAGATAAAAAGAAGGAACATATGCACAAGTTATCACTTAGCGCTCCGTTTTAACAGTATCGTTCTGCAGAAAATCCGTCGAAATGCTAGCGAGTTTCCATATATGTTACCTCTAGCTGCTCGATGGGCAAGGGACCGTGAACAGCCTGCATCTCCATGCCCTCGTCGACATCGTGCTCCTGCTGCTCCATCAGGACGCTTCCGGCGCTTCAGAAGCACCTTCAAGAAGCGTATACGCTTGAATGAATGTGAAATAGTGCGCCTTAGTCCCTCAGCAAACCGGTATCCTCGTCCGCACGGAAGAACGGCACTGAAAAGGAAACCGGCGAATTAGAGGGCACAAAGGCCAGCTCAACAATACCAGGCTGACTCGAGAGCAGCAAAAACTCTCCTGTGGAGGGAAGCCCAGATCTTTTCAAGTGGAGCGAGAGCGGATCCACATGACGAGCTCGGAGAAAAGTGCAGGTATGAAATCGAGGAACGGTTAGTCAGGCTGTGCTCTAGGGACAGTTCCCAAGGTGGACAAATACCAAGACCTCAACCGCCCAGCATTTCTCGCCCATTTTGAGGTAAAATCCAGCGGAGGGAGGAGTGAGGGGCGGAGCCCATGAGGGCAAGAGAGGTGGAGGGCGCAGCACAAGTTCCCTGCCAGGAGGCGGAGCGCAATTCTGATCCCTCTGCGCGCAGGTTTGTTTTCCGCCAATCAGCGCGACTGCGGAGTCTGGGGGGGCGCGGAAATCTGACGTCAAACTGACGCCTCGATTACTCGCTACACTTACCACGTACACTCAAGAATCACCATTCTTTGTTCATAAAATTATACGTTCAACATAGGTGCCTTAGTGTTATGAATTATAACTTAGAGTACAGCGCAGAATACTGTAGGGGAACGTGATTACAAAATGTCGATAATAATGAGGCATAGGAAATATATAGGGCGAGTTGACCAGGGTTGAATTTTGAGGGTTGGACCAGTCAAGGGCTCGATAGTCCCGAGGGTGACAGGGTCAAAATGGGTTCAGGGCGAATCGGGATCAGGTTGGGGCCGAAAAGGACGACGGGGCCTGGTTTGGCACGAGAACCATATCAGAATAATTGAATAATGGTAAAGTGAGAGTACACACAAATATATCTAAGTTTTGTATCCTCTAAGAGGTGACTCTATACAGTCTATACAAACATGACAAATACACATGTTTGACACACCCCCTAGACTGCATAGGGGAATACCCTAAACAAGCAGCTCAGGGCGGCACTACTAGTCCAACCTCTGAGGCAAGGGTCTGAGCGACCGGTCAGAAGGAGTACAGACAAGGCAAGCACAAGAGCAGGGCGGCACTACTAGTCCAGCCACTGGGAGAGGACACAAGTCCAGTCTGAGTATACATATAAAGGACAGTACAAAGTCAAGGTCCTAGCAAGTGAGAGGCTACAGGAACTAGACCAAGCTGTACACAGTGCCGTTGATGATCTTTAGGCGCAAGCGCCTTCGTAAAGATATCAGCCGTGTTGGCACCTGAGGCCAAGTGTACTACGCGAGCCTGACGTCGCTACTGTAGCTCACGCAGGAGGAAGTACCGCAGCTGAATGTGCTTCGCTCTGCCCTCGAGTCGAGGCTCCTGACACAGGAGGATCATGGCCCTGTTGTCAGCGAACAGGACCGGGGCAGAGCTAGGTCGCTCACCTAAGTCAGTGAGCAAGAAGGTCAGCCAGCGGAGCTCCTGTGCCGCCATGGCACCGGCGTAGATCTCAGCCACACAGCTGGACTGTGCAACAGACAAAGAGCGAGTAGCTCTCCACGAGACGGCACCTGAGCCAAGGCTGAAGCAGTAGCCCTGGGTAGACCGGAGTGTCTCAGCGTCGTCTGCCCACGAAGCGTCTGTGGGCCCAGTAAGGACCGCTGGCCTGCGTCCTCCTAGCACTAACCCCATGCCCGATGTACTAGCAAGATAACGCAGAACCCTCTTAGCGGCAGACCAGTGCTGCGGTCGGTGTCTGCCTGTGGCCACAAAGCGAGCCAGGATGCTGAGAGGGTATGCGAGATCTGGGCGAGTGCAAGTCATCAGGTACATGAGGCAACCCACCAGCTCTGCGTAGGGGCCGCTGGGCTCTACCAACTCCTCAGGCACTGGAGCGGAGAGCCTGTGGTCTACAGGCAGAGGGGTGGGCTGTGCAGAGGAGAACTGAAGGCTGAACCGCTGAAGGACCTGGCGCACCAAGTGTGACTGAGTCAGGGTGATGGTGCGCGCAGCTCTGTCCCTGGAGATCTGCAAGCCAAGGTAACGGCGCAGTTCTCCAAGGTCAGTGCAGGTGTGTCTCTTCAGCAGCTCTGCCTTCACGGAGGCCAGCGCGTCCCTGTCTGCTGTGGCAAAGACCAGGTCGTCGACGTAAACGAGGATGTAGAACGGAGTCTGGCCAGCACGAACGAAGAGTGAAGGGTCTGCAGAAGACGGAAAGAACTGCAGGTCAGCAAGCGTAGCACGCAGAGTGTCGTGCCACTCACGGGGAGCCTGGCGCAGGCCGTAGACGGGGCGCCGCAGGAGCCACTGGGTCCCAGGAGGGAAGGTGCCAGTAAAGCTCGGAGGGCGGCGCAGGTAGACCTGCTCGTGTAGGCTTCCCTGAAGGAAGGCAGTGGAGAAGTCGAGGGAGTGAAGCTCGTAGTCACGCTGAGCAGCTAGGTGTAACAGAACCCGAAGAGTAGTCATCTTCGGGGTCGGAGCGAAAGTCTGGAAGAAGTCCACCCCTTCGCGCTGACTGAAGCCTCTAGCCACATAGCGCGCCTTGAAGACAGGCGGCTCTCCAGGAACGCGCTTCACCTTGAAGAGCCAGCGGCCATCGACTACGTTCACCCCTTGTCGGGGAACTGCGTCGACGAAGGTGCCGGTGGATCTCCAAGATGCCATCTCCTGCTCCATGGCAGCTATCCACTGCGAGGCCCAGGGTCCCGAAGTCGCCTCAGCGTAAGTGCGAGGGGTCGGGATGTCGAAAGCGTCTGGGTCACCCTCAGGGACTAGCAGCATGGAACAGAGATGGGGAGCAGCCTCGGAGAGGAAAGCAAGCTCGAACTGGCGGTCCTCCAGGACGTCACTGCCAAGGGCAGGAGCACCCCCGACAGACGGAGGACAGGCAGGGTCAGAGACCAGAGCGGTGGCGTAGTCAAGGCGGCGGGTAGAGGCGAAGTCAACGACAGCAGCGACAAGAGCGTCAAGGCACGAGACTGGAACAGACGGGTCGGTAACGAGAGAGGCAAGGACCCGAGGAACGAGAGGACGAGCGGCACGAAGGTAGTCGGACAGCGGGGGGGGCGCAACAACAAGGGAGGACGGAGGAGGCGATGGCCGAAGGGGAGGACGAGACGCGTGTGAACGAAACAACATAGGGTGGGAGCGCAGGACAGGCGAGGCACGATGAGCACGGGAGGGACGGTGAGACCAGACGTGCGATGGAGGAGTCGGGTCAGGAGACAGGGGAGGGGACAGAGGAGGGGAACGAGGGGGGAGACGGGCCGGGGACGAGTCCGGCGGAGGGAAAACAGGGCCGTAGACAGGAAGAGGAGGAGACGGTCGGGGAGGAACAGACGCAGGGTCGGGGGACGGAAGGCCGAGCAGGCGAAGGGCGGACACCGGCGGGGACTGCTGCTGCGGCGGCACAACGGCGACACCTGGACCGCAAGCTGCTCCTTGGCTACCACCGGCACTCTCCACACCCGCACCCCCAGAGGGACCACCCTCAGGGCGACCGAGACGAGCACCCCCAGAGTCAGCGAACGGGGGCTGCGACTGCGGCGGCGGCGGCGGCGGCGACGGCGGCGGCGACGGCGACGGCTGCAGTGGCGGCAGGGACGGCGGAGGAGGGGACTGGGGAGGGGACACCTGGGGAGGGGCGGCCGGCGAGGACTGCACCGGAGGGCCACCAGAGTCAGAAGACTCCGCAACCGGGTCCACGGACGGAAGGGGGGTGACATGGGAGACACCAGAGGGGGCGGGACGGGGAGGAGGAGGAGGAGGGGCAGGGACTACCGGGGAAGGGGTGACCAGGAACAGGGGGGGGGTAACCGGGGGACCACGGTGGGGGAAGCGGCGGTAGTAGGAGACGGACTCGTCAAAGGTGACGTCACGAGAGTGAAAGAAGCGGTGAGACGGCGGGTGGTAAAAGTGCCAGTCGGACGCGTCAAGGGGAAAACCGAGGAAGACGCAGGGAAGGGTGCGGGCAGTGAGCTTGTCCGTGCCGGAGGCACGGACGTGAGCAAGGCAGCCCCAGACGTGGAACGCAGACGCGTCACCAGGAGACCCAGTCCACAGACGGGTCGGCGAAACCTGCGGCTGCTGAGTGTCACAGGATCGAATGTCCCGAGGAAAGGTTTGCTCAATGTTGCACTATCAATCAGTACAAGGGGCTTTTATACTTCCAGATTACATCAGGTAACCAGGTTTATCCTATCCAAAGGAAATAGACCCTTCTAGAAATAGAATCACCCTGCGTATAGCCACGCGAGGCTATTGGCTTTAAGGGATTACGGCAGGATTACGCTAGATATAGCGCGCCAGTACATCCCGAGCCTGGTCGGTGATATAATCATAATAATAGGATAAACCAAAGGATAATGGAAAAGGAGGAATAGGAAACCAAATTAGATGAGATAAAGACCAAATGAATGAGGATAAAAAGAGGAATGAAATAGAAAGGAAATATGGAAAGGGGAAAATAGTGTAACGGGGTCGTACTCTCACACTTCCCCCCCTCAAAGCTGGGTGGTAGACGTAACACCCTGCTTGACAAGGTAGTCGTGAAGAGGACGACGGGCGTTACCCATGTCGAGTTCACAGACGAAGCCTCAGAAGTATCATAACCCTTCCAGCAAAGAAGAAGCTCCAGAGTGCCAGTCTGACGATGACGGTGTCCGAGCACGTAGTTGTGACATGGCGTGGATGAACACCGGCGGCGACGGTGGTTGGCATTTGGTGTAGAGCGTGTTTGGTCTTGATAGGGTTTAAGAAGCTGGTATGGAAGGCGGTATGGATCTTCCAAGTGGCTGGTAGGCGGAAGCGGAAGTTGACTGAAGTGACATTTGCTTCAAAGAGGATAGTCCCGCAGAAGCAAGGTTGAAGCTTGGATGGAAGTTGGCTGATGTCGAGATTATGGTCTCGAGAAGGGTAGTGATGAGTTGCCAAGTGCTTGTGCTGATGTTGGATGTCCAAGAGGTGCTTGTGTGGTCGATGTACAAGATGGTGGACGATGGCGATGAAATGGATTTGTCGGTTGTTGTGGTGTAAGCGGGTTGCAACTGTAGGTGGTACGCGGATGGAACAGTGTGCTGTAACGTGCAGATGAATGGCTATGTTGTCCGATCCGTGCATGCTGTTACCCGCATCTGGTCCACGTGTGAAGATCACCAAGTGGTGGTGGTATGGCAGTCGTGTCGTAGTACGGCTTCTATCGAGCTGGTCCATGCCTTAGTGTTGTCGCGAGTCGTACCCACTCGGCATCGTAGTGCTGCGGAATGGAGAGCAGAATCACTTGTAGTAATCCTGTCCAC